ACCCAAATTTGAAGTTTGCCTTGACACCCTTGTGAGGGTGACACCTCCTTGTGAGGAGTAGTTCTATGCATTCCCAACTTGGAGGCATGTTCTCTTCTTTGAGAAGCAAAATGTTTGCTGTGCCTGTGAAGCACCAGGTAGTTCTTTAAAGCACAGAGGCAGTTCCAGGACTTAAAACCAAAAATGTTCTTGGCTTCTCACAGTTGGTACTTGGTGAGGAGGGGTTGCTGTACTGGTTACAGTGGCTCCCTGGAAAGAATCTTACTTTGAGGGATTTTCCTAGTATGAGACTGTCCCAGATAGGTTGAGTCATTTAAGCAGCCTGTCCTGGAGATTTCCTTTATAATATGACTTAGCCATTTCCCTATCATCAGGGCTAGTGGGCAGTTACCTCTTCCTTCTCTGGGGTTTCAATTCTCTTTTTTTTTTTCTCTTTCATTTGGTTGGGATGTCATTCCCTTTATGACTCAAGGAAACCGGCTGAAATAGCCAGAGGCATAAAAAGTGAGTGAGTGGAGCAGCTTTTCCCCAAGGAGCAGAAGGAAAAACTCTGTGTACAACATTTGGGGACATGAATTTTATCAAGAAGAAGAAAGAGGAGAGATGATCTGTTTATTGAGTCCCTTTAAGCAGGGGATCTTTCAGCATAAGGACACCAGTGTGATCAAAGAATAACATCTAACAGAACAGCAAAATATTCTCTTTGTTGAATTCACATAGATGGATTCACGCTCCCCAGTTCTGCCCAGCAAATGCAGTTTGGTGAGTGTATTAAAACACCAGCACCTCTTTGCCAGTGTATTTGCTGGAGTGCTCTATTTTGTGAGCTGGGGTGGATCTTTATAGGGTCTGGAAGGCTGTTGCAGTGCGCTGTGCTGACCGTCCTGTTTTGCATCTGGTGTGAAAGGGAAGCTCTGAACAACGGCAGCCACACCCCGGGGTCCTCCTGCTTTCCCACTTCTCGTCTGCATGGTGCAAGGCTGAAATAAAAGCTGCTTTTATTTTCAGCTTTGATTGTGGAAACTGGCCTCCTTTTGCCAGGTGTTCTGTGTCCCAAACCTGTACTTTCAGTGTCAGCAACGACTTAGCATGTGATGAATGTGTTGTGCCAAGGGGCATGTCTTTAGTTTTAGCTAAAAGATGAACCAAATCCTGGTAATGAAAACAGAGCTTTTTCATTTGTTGGAATAAAGACCTTTTTTAGTGTGGTTACCTAAAGAAGGAAGGCTTATGGGATTGAGTGCTGGTCCATCTGCTTTTCAGTTCACCCATAATAACTTTGGAACAGTTTCATCCAGATTGGACAGTGAATTAAAGTCTTGAAGAGAACTGATTTCCTGCAAGTGTAGGAAACAAGAAAGCTGTTGGCTGGTCGGAGAAGAGAGACAAAAATAGGTGTCCCTGCTGCGTCCAGCCTAGGCTTAACAGTAATCTGTTCTTAGGCTTCTGCTCGCCAAGTTGCCAGTGTGTCCCGGCTGCCTAGGTATTACAGTAGACTCAGAGCTTTCCAGAGCGTGTTACCGTTTCTGGGCTTTTCTTAGGCAGAAGTTAAGGAGTCAGATGAAGGAAGTGAGGGCATAGGGGATAATATTGCAAGGGAATTGGAGATGTTACAGAAAGGGTGAAAGCAGTGGGAGCTGAGCTAGATGGATCTTGCAGTAGTTTTACAGTGGATGGAAAAACTCGCTTTTTAGACTCCTCACAGTCCTTCAAGTTTGTTCATCTCTAAATTTTAATAAATTTGTCTGTCTTATCAAGGATGGACCTGGACCTGGACCTGGAAGTGTCTTATCTAGTTGTGAAGAAGTCAAAGTATAAAGTGTTTACACTCTGATCCGAGAAATGCAGCACCTAAGTGGAGCTGGGCAGCTGTTTTGTCAAAAGTTTTATTTACCTAAGATGCTGTTTAGAGCTAGATGAAACAATATCTGAATTTGAATGGAATTAAGTCAATAGTCCCAACCAGAACAAAATGGAGAAAAAAAATACTGGAAAACTGTAATCCCAAACTAAAATAGTTTATTTTTCCAGGCTCAAGTCACAATTTGAATAAGGCTTTTTGGACAAAATCGGGATGGAAAATGTAGGGGAGGTGACTCCTGTAATGCAGTAATGGGGCTGCATTTGTGTGCAGTGTACGAGGTCAGCATTCCCAATGCATTTTGTAAGAATTTGGATTTGTACAATTAAATTCATAATTTAATCACCATTTGCGAAACTTCTTCCAGTCTCTTGCATTGGGCAGGAATGGGGCTGAGTTTTCCAGGCATTAACTTACTTTCCCATATTCACGGTTGGCAAAATATTTGCACAAGGTCTGAAAGCAACACATCTTTGGTGGGAAGAGGAAGGAAACGCTGCCTGGCATTACTCATTGTCCGCTGCCCTGTTTTTCTTTGGTTTCTTTTGTGCTGGACGGGCGCTGGAGCTCCGGAGCGTGAGCTGTTGCTCCGGAGCACACTTGCCGGCATGAGTCAGTGACAACCTCTTGCTGTTATTGCAAATAGCAACATGGACGCTGCCCTTGCATGCTTCTTTTCACAGGCTTTGTCTTTTCGCTCCCAACACTTTTGCCAAGGAATGTGCAGAGCTTCTGAGTCAGCAACCAGCTGCCTCGAGACTGAACACGCAGGATGCTGCAGGCTGCGTCCTCCGTGCCGGCCCTTGCTTTGCCTCCCGTCCTTTCCGTGATCGCTGACGTGTCGCTCGCCAGTTCCGAGAGCTTTGGCTGTTTTCGTAAGGAATGCAGGATTTTGGGAAGCGACTGATTACAGCGATTGAAGTTTCTGTGGAGAAGCAGCAGCTCTATTTGACCCGTGGGCATAACTGACTTAACAGCCTTTTATGAAACGGGATGTCGGCAGAACTTGAGGATTAATCCGGCACTCCAGTTGAGCTGTGTAAAATGCCCTGCCTTGCAAAATGAGGCCTTTTGCAAGCCGGTCACCTGGCTTGGCAAATCCTGAATGCAAAGCATTAAATTCCTAGAGGGGAAATAGATTGTGTTTTACTTTGAGGATCTGCCTTTGCACTGCAGAGACTCGCTGCTCTGTCCTTCTGTCTGGTGGAAGAGTAGAACAGAAGCAAGAGCAGAAGATGGGTCCTGTGTTGTCCTTGCACCTGGGTAAATTAGTAATGGACTGTGGACTATCAGACTTCGTAGTAGTCTCACTGAATTTGTATCATGAGGTTTTCGTTACTTACTCTTAGGAAACATTTTGTCAGTTGTTTTAAGAGCTGGTGCAAAGCGAGTGTTTCCGTGGTAGAGTGTGAGTGATGGGGAAACAACTCAAATCCTGCTCAGCCTGCAGCGCTGTGCAGGTTACAGAGGCACAGGGAGGCAGACTTTGCATCTTTTATTGCATCTCTGTCACACAGATGCAGCCTTCACCGTATGTGATTTGCATGTGTTGTGTATAACATTGCTCTTGAGAATGGACGTGGGGTCGCAGGCTAAGAGCACAGTGTGTTCGGCCCCTGGAGATGCGCAGTGCTTGCTCAGAGGTGAAGCCTGCAGCACGTTTCCAGCTCTACAGCAGGGAAATTCATATTAAAAATAAGGGAAGTAGTTAGTTCTACAGAGCTAAGTGAGTAGCACTGGTATGGACATGACACCACTGTCATAAATACGAATTCATTTGTTCTACCTTCTCTAGACAGTTGTCCTCATAAGGTCAGAATTATATTCTCCCTTATAGCCCATTGTTATACTATGACTTCCATAGGAGATATTTTTATTTGTAGTAATAACTATACAGCTTGACACTGTTTGTAAGGATATTGAGGTCTCTTTTGCTGTTTTAAAATATAACAAATAAATATCATGTTAGAGTGGGATGCAGGAGTGCCCAAACAAACTGCTGCCGAGCTGATACAGCGGAGGGGAAGAGACATGAGCTGTAATGTTTGACTTAGCTTCCTGTCTGCTGGAAGCCGGAAAAGAGCTGGTGAGAATCTAAAAGGTTTTATCCAAGTCCACATATCCACATATTTACTTTTTTACCTTAATGCCCTTTGCAAAAAAACAAAAAACCAAAAAGCACCGCAGAAGAAGTGTTAAGTGTTCAGTTCTCTCGTTTCTCACTTGCTCAGTTCGCTAGGTTCAGCATCTCTACCACGGAACTAGAGGAAACAGCACGAGAATTCCGTGGGAGCAGCACATCAACCAGATTTTAGTGCCTTGCTGCCTATTAAGATAGGAATATGGATATAGGGACTAGGTAAGGCAAAAGTTTATACTGCTTGAGGCAACACATATCTCCCAGACAATTTTCAGTCTTGAAGCATTCAGTCTTAAGCTTTTTTTTTTGCTATTAGAAGATGTAACTTCTTTGCAGGAGTGCAGGAGCCATTATTCATTGCTTTCATTGAGCTGCTGTGCAAAGGCAGTCTTTGAAGGACTCAGAAATATCGAGCTGTGATATGCCATCCTTTTTCCTCTTCTCTATTTAAGAGAAGATACATGTCCTTTTTGAATGAACCCTGACTTATTTTATTTGTGGGATACTAGCTCATAAGAACTTTGTGGTAGCAACGATTTTAAGACCGACACCTTGCCACTGCAGTGCTGTTAGTTATCACAGCAATTGCAGTCTGTCATCACAGTAGGTGTTATATTGATAATGGTATGCATACCTTTTGTTTTAAAAGCTCCTCCTGTTTCCAAACATCATGCAACATCAGCCAGTTTACTTGAAACTTGTCCGCTCCTTGTGTGAAACAAAAATTTTGAAAAAAAACTTTCTAGAGGGTAAGACAGAAGTGTTCTGTTATGGGGGTGAGATGCTCCACTGTCTGAAGCACAGCTCAGTTAGCTCTGGAATGTCATTGCAGTTGGACAGGAATCCTGCATGTTTTGTTTAGCTGGCTCATTTAGGACCAATGCCTTATTAATTCCTGAGAGTTTGCACTTTCGGTTCAGTAGGCACAGCCGTAAGTTTGGAAAGTAAAACAAAGATCAAGCTCCATTGTGTTTTGTCCTTTTTGTTTTGTAGGTTAATAATGCTTGTAAGCCAGAGGTGAGAGTGGCTCAGCGGTGCAATATCAGGAAGTCTGGCAGACTGGAAGAGAACAGCTGCCCGCCAGGGTAGCTGCCAAGCGTGAAGCATGGAAGAAACCAAGAACGAGAAGGTGAACCAGGCTCACGTTCTCTTCGACAGATTTGTCCAGGCTTCAACCTGCAAGGGGACTCTCAAGGCTTTCCAAGAGCTCTGTGATTACCTAGAACTCAAACCCAAGGACTATCGTTCTTTCTATCACAAACTCAAGTCCAAACTCAATTACTGGAAAGCCAAAGCCTTGTGGGCCAAATTGGACAAGAGGGGCAGCCATAAAGACTACAAGAAGGGGAAAGCATGCGCCAACACAAAGGTAAGGAGAGCGATCCTCTGTAAAGGTTTGTTATGGGAGTCAAGACAACTCTCTTACCCAGCTTATCTCTGAAATATATAAGAAAAAAGGTGGAATGTAGGAAGATGTTCCTATACTATCAATGTAAGACCAGGAAGATGACGGAAAGTTTTCACCTCTAGTGTTTATGGTATGGTCATAATTTGTTAGCATTTAACTCTCAATCAACATCTCCATTTTTTAACCAAAATTCATGGGTAAAACTAAATTTTAATCCTTGAGAATGACTAGAAACCTATAATTTCTTTGAGAGAATCAGATTGCAGTTTCTCTTTTCTGTGGTTTTGTGGTATTAATACTACGGTGAGGTTGAATTAGAAAATCTTCATTTGCAAACCTTTAATCTTTATAGGCATATTTTACCTCTCTTTTTCTTATTTATCTAATATATGGGAAAAAAATCCACTGTTGGAGTTTACATACAGAACATTTTATTGGAAATTTCTAAAAAACATCAATTTCAATTTGAAAATTTTCATGACTCTCTGAAGAGAAGTAAGACTTTCCTACAAATATGGCAAAATACTAAATTTAACACTTAGAAATAATAACTTATATTTTGTATTCAGAGAAATTAAAGGAAAAAGCAAAGATGCTGTGGAAAGTCTTATCAATTCATTCTAAAAAGTTGATATGTGTTATATTTAGAGTAAGGAATTGTTGCTTTCGCTTGGAAAAAATGATTTAATTGCTGGGAACTGGTACTTATCTGCTGCACCCTTATGAACAGTATCATATGAGCTTTATTATTTTCTTGTTACTGAAAGGAGATTCTTTGTATCATTCATGAAAATACACATGTGATAACAAGCAATCATACACTTTTCCTTTTTTTAAAAATAGAGATAGGAATATGAGGAAATTAGGACAGAATTATTTCCTCCTTTATTGAGGACAATGGCTGCTTTTCTTTCTGTTGTGTATTCACCTTTTTGGGGAAAGAAATATCTTGATTAACTCCTCCGGCAGAGAGCTGAGGGAGAAATATATTTCATTTAGGATATTGTCAGTCATCTCAAGATGCATAGAGTGAAGTTAAATTCTCAGCTGGATGTTAGAAAGGCATATTAGTTTCATCGGTGTTTATTCTAATTCCCTTTCCATTTACCATTTTCTTATGGATGTTAGCATTTATAATTATTATAATGATATAGCAAAGAATTTCTAATGTCCCAGGTCCAAGTCTTTCGTCAAGAAGCTTACAAGAGACAGATGATGTGGCAGGTGAATATAGGTTAAGGTGGAAAGTGGTGAAATAAATAGCCAGTGTTGGCCACTGTAGCTTCAACACTGCAGCAGACCAACCAGTGTGAAGGGTTAATTTTTTTTCAGGCACCTTGACAAGGGAAGGTGAGTATACTCCTTTTTCCTTATATTTAAGAGTAAATATTTAAGAGTAAATAATTGACTTCTAAGGTCACTATAGATGTCATGGGAAAAAAAATGAAATTAATTTTTCTGAAAGCTTACTGCATTAATTGGAGTCAGGAGTCACTGCTCTCTTTTGAATGAAATGTTGTATAGAAGTGAAGTTTCTGTTATCTTGGTCTTTTCTTATCTTCGATTATCTTGGAGATGAAATAGGAATGAGATAAACAGAGAACATCCTAAACATCCCTCGGTCATGAGTCGCTCCCCATTAGTAATGAGGGGGAGGCCTTGGAAGCGGCTGGCAGAGCTGTGGAGCACAAGGCCCGGAGCGGGAGGCATGGTGTGAACGTGCCGAGGTGATGGCCTCCAGCAGGAGCGGGGGCTCCTGCCCTAGTGCCCCCATCCCGTGTGTGCACCGGGGAAAAGAAAGGCATGGGAAGAAAAGGGAGGCCGGTCCTGGTAACTTGCTGATATTTCTACATTGCTATTGGAGAGATGCTGTATAAAGACACAGTAATAAGGGTAGAAGAGGAACAAATTTGAGATGGCAAAAGAAATGCCAAAACACATAGGGTTTGGGACTCATGTAATTCTGAGCAATTGAAATTATATAGATGAAAGGAAATGAAATTTAAGTAACTGTTTGCTCGGTGTTAGTACATGTTAATGAACATAGCTGTGGTTATAAGTCATTTTTACATCATTTTAAATGTAAACTTCGTTGATTTGTCTTTTTTATGTAAAGAAATAATACCTGTATGTGTTCCTTTTAGAAATGTACTTGGTGGTAGCATCTCCTACTAATTACTTTAATATAATTGCTGAGAAATAATAACTATTCACAGTAGAGACCGTTTGAGGACTGCATCATATCTGATTTGATATTTGTTATCACATGGTTTTATATCCCTAATTTTAATGACATTTGCAGATGGTTATTTAAAAATAAAAAAGAAAGTGAGAATATGAAGACGATAGAACATAAAATAAAGATTAAGAGTTTACTCATATTACCAGAGAAGATCTCTCTCATTACTGTAATAAGGTCAGCTTTTAAATGTTTGAACATATATGAATTTTAAAGAAATTTTGGTATACCCAAAGCGATACAGAACAGAAGTGAACTGCGAGGGTGCCAGAGCCCTGGCACAGGCTGCCCAGGGAGGCTGTGGGGTCTCCTTGTCTGGAGATCTTCCAAACCCGCCTGGATGCCGCCCTGTGCCCCGTGCTCTGGGTGTGCCTGCTGGAGCAGGCGGTTGGACTAGATGATCTCCAGAGGTCCCTTCCAACCTCAACCGTTCTGTGATCCTGTGAAATATTAATTGTTTTTCCCGTGACAGTAAAGAGCTGCTGTTGTCCTCTGGAGCTCAGCTCTTGCAGGGATTAAGTGCCAAGAGCAGAGTTTTGCCCATAGTGCTTTACGTAACCAGTGCCCAAGTTAACCAGAGCTCAGCTAGATGGGTCATGAAAGCAAGAATTGCTTGTGATGGTTTATTCAGATATAAATAGTTACAGATTGTTTTATACTACGTCCTGTATGCATTCAGCTATGTCCCTCAAAGGGGAACGTTCAGGCAGATAATTCTCCTATTCTCTTTTCTTATTTGTCTATAGAAGCAATGCGGTTTGCATTTGATGTTACTTTGCCATTGCCACATTGATATTGAAAACTTAATAAAACGTGTCAAAAACAGTTCAGCAACAAGTGTTTCTGAGAGGTTGCCCTAGTGCACAGGGTTGCAGCAGGAGATTTGAGTCACTGTGGGGAGAAGAGCAAGGAACAGCAGTAACTGTATTTACTTGACTATAATTAACACCTTATATATATATTTACTGCCTCGAAGGGTGTTGGAATTACTATTTTATGGAGATGTGAAACTGGAAAAGCATTAGAAGGGAAAGGGAGATAGAATCTTGTTTGTTTTTTGTAGTTGTTATTTGTTTGTTTGTTTGTTTTCTTCTTTTAATTGTGCTTAATATTTCCTGTGTTTTACAACAATATAGTTTAATAATTCTGTGGAGGTAAAACATGACAAGCATGGCCATGAGTTACTTCATATGGGTATCATGTATTTTCCATGCAGAATGTTTATAGAGTTGTCTAGAATGTCTAGATGCTGATCATCACATCCTCATATGTGTAAAAAATGTCTTAGAAAAAGATAAGCTTTTAAATTTCTGTCATAAAATTGTTGGTAATTAATTTACAATTTGTTTCTGTGGATCTGCATTTGAAAAGTCTGGATTTCATGTCATTCTTTTGTTCTTGTGTGCTCCATTGTGACTACTTTACACAGGAAAGGATTCAAAATGATGTTAAGGTGGACTTGTTGCTTATTGCATCTAGTCACTTTGAAGGCTGCAGTTCTCAGATAGGCAAAATTACTACCATGATTAAACATGAGGCTAATTTTCTTGTAAGGTTAAGACAAAGAAAGACTAACTGGAGGCAGGCTGGTCCACAAAGGAAACAGTAATGAGTTGGAGGAATATTTTAGATCCTAGTCTGTGACAACTTCCAGCAAATTGCAGACTGGACAATATTTTATTTTTATTCAGGTTAAGAGCCTCTTTAGAAATTGAATTGCAAATAGCTGTGCTCTTAGACTTGTCTTTTTTCCTGTGTGCCTTCAGATTCCCAGAACTACTGGATAAATAGTGTTATCCTTCACTTCCCCTTCCTCTAGGCTTGGATCTCTGCCTCATGCTTATGTGACTTTTTATCTTATTTTATATTTGCATGCCAGTTGTACCTCTTCATTACTATGACCTGAACTGTTTTATATTCAACTTTATCATTCTGGCTTTATTCTTGTGGTTACATATAATTTGCAAAATACATGCCCAGTGAATAACTAGCTAAAATGTGGTGAGCTGTAAAAATGGACATATGGAGACTGTGAAAGAACAAAAATCTCAAATGACTTTGTTGTCCAGCTCAGTTTCTCAAGTGGCTTTGTTGCCCAGCTCTACAGCTACATAAATATCTGAAAAACATTCACGTGGCAGCATCAGCCGTCACTGCAGCAAGGTGTTTGTTGTGTGGGACTGGTTTGTACTCGGTAGAAATCGAAGAGCAAAATGATATGGCAAAATAGTCATGTGCCAGCTTGGTGGGCCACAGTTGTTCTGAGGAAGCGGTGTCAATAGATTGTTTTCTTGCATTTTTAGTCTTAAAATCAATTATCTTCATTTTAATCAAGAGATTAAAAAACTCTTTGGTTTCTCTGAAGAAATTATTAGCATTAGAGATGCAAGTGTTTTACATTCTCTGGTTGTTGGCCTCCAGTAGTGCTTGTGAGTAGAGTGGAGAAAGACATGGCAAGCTGAAATACCATTTGAGAAAAGACAGCTCAGAAAAAAATGTCTCAATTAAAAAATAGTCTAGTCTAGTCAGTTACACACAATTTATATTTACATTGTATTTAATCTTCTGACTAAACTTCTGTATTTAATCTTTGACTTGACTATTATCTGTGCTACTGAGAATGATGATGTTCATAAAACCAATTGTTACTGTGCTACTTGGTGATCATAAAGAGTTTTTAGGGTTTAGTGTTGCTCAAAATTTTCTCTAGGAAGGGCAGCTTAGGTTTTGGAAAATGAGAGAAGAAAGTTAGATCCACCTGCTTTAATAACAGAAACACATGGATGGGATTGGGGAGGAGGAGGCAGCCTTGAGCCCTCAGAATCACTGATGCTCTCCAAGTGCTTATATATATAGTCTATATTAAATTTATGGACTATATCTTGGCAGCTCTTCTTAAAATGGTTGAAAACAGGAAGGTGACTGGCTGCTTCTCCAGACCTTCCCTGCTGTGTGATACACTTTAATTTCAGATTTCAGTTACTGTTTCCATGTATCAGTGGCAGGGCATGGTGGCTAATAATGGAAATATGGATCTGGAATTTCAGTTTACGTTGCAAACGAAGAGCTCTTACCCCTAAGAGCTGTGGGATGCTTTGGATCTGCGTTAAGAATCATATTTTTCTCCTAAGACTGTAAAGTTACTCTGTACTCGTTGTTTCGCAGTGTCTGATAATTGGGGCTGGACCCTGTGGCCTTCGTACAGCCATCGACCTGTCATTCCTCGGAGCGAAGGTGGTGGTCATAGAGAAGAGGGATGCCTTTTCCCGCAACAACGTCCTGCATTTGTGGCCGTTCACCATTCACGACTTGCGGGGCCTTGGCGCCAAGAAGTTCTACGGCAAATTCTGTGCGGGATCCATAGACCATATCAGTAAGTGCAACCACCACTTGTGCTCCCAGGGAAGACGGGAGCTGCAGGGGCTGCTCCTTGGAATTCAGCCTGCAGCAGGCACTGCTGTGACCTCCATTTGCTGCACTTGGCCCCTGTACCTGTGCATAGCACAGCATGCCCTAGATATGGGAGAAATGCATCATGCCCTGAGATTAACAGACATGCAGCATATACCATTGACCTGTCATCTTTTACACCTACTATTTTCAGGGACTTATCTTTATCTTTTCTTACATGGAAAAATGCATTTAAGGTTCAAAACCTTTTTTCCAGTGGATAATCTTTCTATTTTTGGTGTTACATCCTTGCAGCTGCCACATTATTCTGGTTTTCCTGAACAGTATAAGCAAGTTGTAAAAAAAAAAAAAAAATTCTACGTGTTTTTTAACATTCTTTTGAATGATGATCTGAAGAACAGGGGTACAGTTTTGGTATTGTCCACTGTTAATATCTGTATTTTTGAAAGAGTGCTGAAGATGTTTTCAGGAAAACTGCCAGCCTCTGAATGGGCTTTGATTGGATTAGAGGTTTACATGCTGAAAATGAGGGTAATTTTGGTAATTCTTAAATTCTGATAATCCAGTTTAAAACCAAATGACTGATTCAGTTATATAGGAGTTTTTTTTTTTCAATTTTTCTTTCTTCCGTAATTTACTGTGGATGCCACAACCAGATTGTTTTGCCCACCAATCTGTGATGACCATTTGTAGTAAATGGGGAAAATAAAGTGACAGAAATACGAAAGATAAAATATAGCTTCTTGTCCAAGGCAAAAACTCCTCCTCTTTTTTTTTTTTTTTTTTTTTTTTTTCAAGTGAAGGGTACAGCTGAAGGATCAGTGGAATTTTAGACTTGCAGATCACTCCCTTTCTCCCAATTTCTTATTATTTTTATTCTTCTAATGCTTTTTAAATGCCATCTTCTTTTGTATTTCAGCAGATTTTCTAATTTTCAGTATCCTTTTTTTTTTTCATTTCAGTATCTGCAATATCATAGTAGGATGTCTTCCTGCAGATCATTAGTGCTTTCACATTTTCAGTTCTGTCCCCACTACTTACACTTATGTTAGAGGAGAGACATGATGAGAATCTTACTACACTGTCACTAACCTAGAAGTCTTAGGGTAAAGGTGCATCTCAATAGTACAGCTTGGTTGAACAAATAGAGAGTTGCTACCTGTGATAAAAGTACAGTCTTGTGCTCTGATTGTTTCCCCTGCACCTGATTTGGGGACTGAAACATTAAAAAAAAATACTTTCTTTGGGAAGGGTTTGAGTTTCTGCTATATAGAAGGGTTTTTTTGCATACTGTGATGATACACACCAGTGTTGCCTCAGTGAAAGTGCTAGAAGGGGGGAAGAAGAAAAAAAGTTGATACTTAAATCAATTTATCAGTAATGTTCAACTATTACAGACATGTGTATGTTTTTACCCTTTCCTTTTTTTCTACCCTTATCATCTGCTTTCTTGTAGGTATCCGTCAGCTCCAGCTTATCCTTTTGAAGGTTGCCTTGATCTTGGGAATTGAGATCCATGTCAATGTGGAATTTCAGGGGCTTGTTTACCCTCCTGAGGATCAGGAGAATGAAAGCAAGTAGAATTGAAATGGGTAGTTGAGAAAGGGGAGGTTGTGGTAGGATACCCAGAGAACACCTCTTCAATGCTCCTTATAACACTTAAGTCCTTTCCTCACACTCTGTTAATGACAGTAACAATTAATTCACTTTTGCTGTCATTTATAGTTGGTTTTATTCTTTCTAGTGAAGAATCCAAATTTGAAATTTGTTGCTATATAAAACAAAAAACACCTGAGGTGCTAAGTAGAAATAATCCAAGACACAATCAGTTATACTCACTCCTAAAATATTTAAGCTTATTACACTTAGAAGAGAACTTTTTGCTGCCCACTGCTTTATATGTGTTCACTAAGGATGTTTATATCAATTACCTACATATTTTTTATAAATTTTATTGACATGCTTTTACTGAGCAAACAAGTCATATGCCAGCTCAGTCTTTGACTTAGCATACATGTTGTTAGACAAATCAGTTTTGCTGTTACAAAAGTTTAAGCTTGCAGTCATCTTTGTTACACTTGTTGTAGCTTTGTGAAATCTTTGTGAAAAGTATAAAAAGCTCTATAGGGTTGTAGTCATTCTTAAAGATACTAATCAGGACATAATTTTTGGGGCTGTCACTGCCTGACATAGTGCATTCTGTAATTCACTTGGAAAGAGAGTGTCTGTGCAGGTCAGCAATAGCCAGGTGGACAGTGTGGCCATCCTGCACTGTATCTTCATTGACCATTTATATTGACAAATAGCTTATGGATAGTAAGAAATGTTTTTATATAGGTTTTATATATTTGTTGTATTAGATGCACTGCTTATGCTGTCATTAACCTCAAGTTTATCCACAGGGATAGGTTGGCGTGCACTGGTCCACCCCAAAACACATCCAGTATCTGAGTATGAGTTTGAAGTAATCATTGGAGGGGATGGCAGGAGGAACACCTTAGAAGGTAATGGCTTTTGGTAGATCCCTATTGTAAAAAAATCTGTATTTATTCACTTTGAATAGAGCTTATTCTTAAATTGGAGTAGATATAATAAGAAATGACCCTCAACGTCCAAACCAGAAGCCCTTAAAGACATTTGCCTGGTGCTAGGGAAATTAAAAAGACTGCAGAAATCTGGCTGTTATCATGGACAGTAATGAGTTGTTTGATGATTTTTTGGTTTTTTTTTTTTTTTTTTTTTTNTTTTTTTTTTTTTTTTTTTTTTTTTTTTTTTTTTTGATTAAGAAATGTTACAGTTCTTGCTAATGGGAATTAGAGCTGAAGTGTTATATACTCTTTTGATATAGTAGAGGATTCTATCTTAAATTTGGTGCAATTTACAGTCTTCATTAGAAAAGGGAGGGGAGCTTTTCCCCTAATCATTTTATTTTCCTGATGAAGCAGTTTTTCATGAGGCATTTTTGATGTTTTCTCTCTGGAGGAATCCTCTCTTTTATTTTATGAAGACACCTGTCTATGGCATGTTGCGTCTCTGAAATTATGCTCTTTTTGTCCACATTATTAATCTTTCCCATAGGGTTTCGCCGAAAAGAGTTCCGTGGCAAACTAGCAATTGCTATCACAGCAAACTTCATAAATCGCAACACCACAGCTGAAGCCAAAGTAGAAGAGATCAGCGGTGTGGCCTTCATATTCAATCAGAAGTTCTTCCAGGATCTGCGAGAAGCCACAGGTTGGTCAGCAGTAGACAGATTTCCAGTGAAAACTATTTGTCTTTATTATTACAACATTTCTGTAAATCTGATATCACATGTTTAATCTCTGTCTTCCAAGTTTAAGTTCTTTTATAGCTTTCTTATACAGCTGTATAAAGCAGATATGTGTCATTGTTGTACAAAAATGGAGAACTGATTTCCCTGAAGGTTTTCAAGAAAGCTGAGCCCTTCCTAAGAAAAGTCTGAATCCTGAGTTCAGCTTTCTGAACACCACATCTGATTGCAAACTTTAGAGTGATGATAAATACGTATTTTAAAAAGAGGTAAGATACACTGTTGTGGATTTGTTGGAGATACGTTTTTTTAAACTCACCAAAAACATGTGAGGAAGCTGCTTGGCATTCTCCTAAAGGCTTTCTAACCATGTAGTTTCAGTTTACTTTCTGCTGATACAGCTAATGTCTTGCACAAAATATGTAAATTTTTCCCTTGTTTACCATATCTTTTATTCTCTCACAAGGTATTGACTTAGAGAACATTGTCTACTACAAAGATGACACCCACTACTTTGTTATGACAGCCAAAAAGCAGAGCTTACTGGACAAAGGAGTGATACGGCATGTGAGTGTTAACTTTTTCTATATTCTCTCAAAATTTTAGCAGAATTTGTTTTTGGCATGCTGAAAGGAGGGAATAAACTATTGCTTCATACCATACATTTTTATACAGACATATTTTAAAACACAGATATGTGTGATTAACGCCCTTCTGAACTATTTTGATCCATCAGAAAAGTGTTCTAAAATCTACCATGTTCAAATTTGTATTTCTGTGTAGATTTGGGAGTTTTATTCATGTTGAGATAAATTTTACTTTCAGAATCTTTGACTACTTTGTTGAGTCTCCCTCATTTTATGGAAATGTAAAAGCAGGGAGTGAAGGAAATCTTGGGAATATGTCCATACCTTATTCTGACGGAAATTGATGTAAAACTAGTTTGACCACAAGAGAATAAGTTAGGGTTTTGACATTTTCTTGGAAAATAGAATTTAAAAAAATGTTCAGAAGTTTCTTTGCCCTCTCACTTTCAGAAATGCTAGTAAGGCTGATGCTTTCTTGCAACAAAAGATGTACAAGTTTCCTTTTGGAAGCTTAGACATGGATATAAATTAAAGAATATAGAGGGCAAACTTGTATCTGTGGACTCACAGAAATGTCAGTAGCAACAATTCTATGTATCAATCTTAAAATACCCTTGTGAATATGGCTCTTTCACGTCTAGTGGTCTCTCTCCGACAGGATTATGCTGACACGGAGTTATTGCTCTCACGGGAGAATGTGGACCAGGAGGCCTTGCTAAACTACGCCAGAGAAGCAGCTGACTTCTCCACTAATCAGCAGCTGCCCTCACTGGACTTTGCCATCAACCACTATGGGCAGCCAGATGTTGCTATGTTTGACTTCACGTGTATGTACGCGTCAGAGAATGCAGCGCTGGTGCGGGAGCAGAATGGCCACCAGTTACTTGTGGCATTGGTTGGGGACAGTCTCTTAGAGGTTTGTGTTTTAAGCTCCTACCATGTAAACAATGAATTGAAGAACAAGCTCAAGCCATTGCACCCATCGCTGAAATATCTATTTCTTTCCCTCTGGCCTATAAAATAGTTATTATGAGGAAAGCTGCTGTTTATTGTATAGTAATGTGGGAGGTTTGAAGAAAGGGTAGGAGTGTTGGGAAAAAAGAATATTTAACACTAAAGAAAACATGCCAGAGAGTTTCTGAAATTATGTTTGCTGCATCTGTTTCTTATTGGGACAGTTAGACTCTCTATGGAACCTATTGTAATTCTGTTAATTATTAGCATTTTGTAATTTGTTAAAAAGTATGATCTTGAAAAGAAGCTGTTGAGACACTGCAGGCTGTTAACTATTGTTGAAAATAAAGGAATGTTGACTTTGGGGGAGCTCATGGCCAAATCACCATACATATAGCCCAGTGGGAGTAGAGCTTTAAACTAGTTACTGAGTTATCATTTCCCAGCAGATTACCCTCTGAATATATTCTTAATATTGATTTAAAATTCTCCTTTCCCAACTGACACTTCTCCTTTCTCTACATTTTTTCTGTAACATGTAATATTAGCCTTTCTGGCCAATGGGAACTGGAATAGCCAGAGGATTTCTGGCTGCAATGGACTCTGCTTGGATGGTACGAAGTTGGTCGCTCGGAGCTAGTCCTTTGGAAGTTCTTGCAGAGAGGTAATATAGAAAATGAATTCAGCTTCTAATCTAAATTCTCCAAGCTGCCATCATTAATCTCAGTTACTTCTAGTACAAACATACAGACAAAACGTAAGATAGAGATTCTTACTAATGTATTTAGAGGACGCTTGTGTGTGTAATTTCATTAAAGGAATATCTCCCAATAACCTGATAAACTGAAGTGTCTTTAGAGAGGAATAAGGGATGTTGCAGCTGTTCTCCGTCTGCCACAGCCTTACGGTGGTGAACTAAATGAAGATGTAGGTGCCTTCAAAGTATCAGACACAAACTTTCCATACTGTCTTATCTTTTCTTAATGCAACTATGATCATTTTTTATTTCATGTGCTCTTTCTAAATTCATCGTTTTGTTTCCTATAAACCAAACAATATCTTGGGCTTTTGGTCTTTTTCTTTGTATTATCCTTTTTTTTGACATTTTTGTTATCTTTGGTTGAGAGTTGTTTTGGTAGCTCAGAGTGGTATCTTGTGGATCAGGACTCAAGTTAGAAAAAGATGGTGTAAATAAAATCAACCTTTAATTGAACCTCTTACAAAAACAACTGCTGCTTTTGACTGTCATGAACCATAGTTTAAATTTTTTTTTAAATGGCACAGTGCATACTTAAAATATTGAAAAGAGTTGTAGTTGGCTTCGTACACTTGCCTGAAATTAGTTAGCTTGTAAAATATTTCATGATGGATTATCTTTAAAAAATCTTATTAATAGAATTTTTATGATTTCAAAATAAGCATCGGAAAGTTATTTATATTCTTTAATATATTTTTTTTTATTTTAAAGATCACTGATTTAATAAAAGATCATAAAGTTAGGTGAATAAAAGTTTGACTTAATAAGACATCTGAATGATTCAGTAGGCGAATCTGCAAAACCTGATAAAGGGAATACGGTCCGATTGAATCGATTCAGTTCACATTACTGGGGAACTGAATATTTCACGTTGTCATGTGTATTTCAGGCAGTTTGTATGCGTGCTATTTTTGTGTTGGGGGACTCTCAACAGGCTTATTAGAGAGTACTTAGTCTTCAACTTAAACCAGAATTTATTCACAGTTTTGAAACAGTTACCTTTTAGTCTCTTTTATTTACAGTTACCTTTTAGCTTCTTATGTGTCAATAGTACTCTGTGCCACATTTATATTAGTAATTATGTTTTCATTTTTAAATAACTACTAATATAGAAGTTCACTTCTTGTTTTCTAATTTGAGAACTTCTCTTGTGTAATTTAAAGACAAAAATCACAGAATCATGTAGATTGGAAGGCACCCCTCAAATATAGAACTTATTTGCCCCTTAGCTCCCAGAAGTCTAATCAGTACAGTGTTTTACATGATTGTGGTAGTCAGAAGATTACTCCATTGTTTCCTTTTTCTCTATCAGATAGATCCACTTTCACAAAGGCTTGTGTTAATGTTTTTATCATGACTGACGTAATGTTGGAATTCTCATTAGTCATGTAAAAGTCTAGTTAATTTTGAAAACTGTAATCTTTTGGCATAAATTTTATTTTCTGTTAGTTGTTTCCACAGTTCCTCTTGCTGTCAGAGTGAGAAGATAACAGGGACAAAATAATAGATTTATTTTGATCATATCATTATCATTTGTATTTCATTATGGATGTCTCTAAAAAGTTTCAACTGTTGGTATAACTTGGCCATTTTATCTAATATTAGGTTATACTGTCTGTCTGTGGACTGTTTCTTTCTGGTGTGTTAGATTTGGTGTAAGTAAACCTGAAAATACAGGATTCCTGAAAATATATCAAGAGGGTATCCTATTATTATATTGTAGATTTGTAGAAAAACTTAAGTCAAAGAGACTTCTAAAGCTCACCTAGCCCAATGTCCTTCTAAAGACTGATTCCAGCAAGGTCAGGTTGCTCAGTGCTGTGTGGAATCAGGGTGTGAATGTCTCCCAGGATGGAGATTCCACAGTCCTTCTGGATACCTTTTCCGGTGTTTGACCACTCTCATGATGAATTATATTTTTCCTGTATCTAATTGGATCATCTGTGTTCCAACCTGTCTCCACTGTATATTGTTCCATTGCTGTGTACCTCCTAGAAAAGTCTAGTTTCATCTTCTTCACACTATACTTGCAGGCAGCAATTAAGTTTTCCCTTGGGTCTTCTCCAGGCTGAACAAACCCAGTTACCTCAACCTCTCCTTACAGGGCGAAGGGCTGCAGCCTCCTCATGGCCCTCTTCCCAAATTGCCCAGTATGTCAGTGTCTTTCTTGTACTGGGGAACCTTTCAGTCATGCTTCAATGTATTGCTTTTTTCCTTTCTTTTGGTTTCTAGAGTTGCATTAAATAGCAGATTTTAGTATGCTTAAGATGTATCCTAGCTATTCAATATCTGAAGTGACTAGCTGTCAGATTGGAATGTTCTGTCTTGCCAGGATTGATATAATGGTATCAGTAGTGATGCATTACTTGAAAAAAAATCACTTTTTTTTTTTTTAAATTTTCCCAAGGGAAAGCATTTATAGGCTACTGCCTCAGACAACCCCTGAGAATGTGAGTAAAAACTTCAGCCATTACAGTATTGATCCTGCCACCCGGTATCCCAACATCAACGTCAACTTCTTGAGGCCACAGCAGGTAATTGGATGAATAGTGATTTAAGATGCTTGTAACCCGCATGGTCTTTCTTTAGATGAGGTTATGCTAATGCTTGGGGCTGGCTTGTCTGTGGCAGTTCAACTTGGAAATGATGTGGAATGCAGTAAAATGGTGACATATCTATCAAGACCAGAATTCCGTACTTTACCAAATTATCAAGACCAGAATTCTGTACTCTACCAAATTCCTCTTAATGTAGGCTTTTTTGACCATTTTAAGCATGTTGTAATGATATTTGAAATACATAAGCTTGTGTGTGTATGTGTGTCTTTTCTTTGTAGTAAAGTAATATAGCTGTCTGTCATTGCAATTTGGTATCCACTGACCAGCAAAAAACAGCTCAACTGTTCAGCACTGACAAATGTTCTTCATTGTTCTTGGGCTGGAGTTTTCTGCTGTGTGAGCATAGTTGTTTTCATTCTTGGAACTGCTTTTTGTTGTCTTCTGACTCATTCTGTATGGGTTTTGAGTGTATCACATGTTGCTCATTTATGATCTTTTGCATTATTTTAGGTGCGCCACTTGTATAATACAGGAGACTTGAAAGATATTCACTTGGAAATAGAAAACTTTGTGAATTCCAGGACCCCGAAGCTGACTCGGAATGGTAGGCCTGGTTGTTGTTTCATTCCTTTTGTTATTCTGGAGCTGGATTAGTGCAAGATACAGAAAGCAATGGGGCTCTGGAGTCTTATTTAAGCCATCTCTTTAGAAAAAGTATCTAGTAATTCTTTTGCTAACATTCTTAACTTTCCTTTTTTTTTCCCTTTTTAATTAACCTGCAACTGCATTTTTTTTGCCTAATTTCCTTTGCTGTATAATGCTGTTAACTTCCTAAGCATATTTGCTTATACAAGTATTTCTCTTCACTTCCTTTATCCGTTAACATTGTTGTTACATTGAGTCTGGAACGTCACCCAGAATTCACTCTAGCAGCAAACTCACAATTCAAAAAAAATAAGAGATAATATTTCTCCTTGTGTAATCGCTCCTGTTTGTACTTACCCTTTACTAGCCCTCATCTCTTTGCTTAACTACATGTAACATTGCTTTACTTGCATCATTCTGGAAGTTAAATATCTTGTGGTTGAGTGTTTGAATATGTCTGCTAGTCCTATAACCTGAGGGGTATGTTGAACTTTTTCTTCTGCATACTTGCCTTTGGATGTCCAGATAAGTCTTTGGTGACTCTGGAATGGAGTTTTGCTGCTGAACCTCCCTTTCGCTGTTGCATAGTTATGTAGTCTTTGATTTGTACCTTGGCCTACAACCATGTGCCTTTGGGCTATAATCTCATCAGCTCTTGCAGTAAGGCAAGGTCAGAACAGGTCAGTGATTAATTGGAAAGCTTTCAAGTGAAGTTAAGAATTTGCAGAAGTACTTTTGTCATTCTTCCTTTGGAAATAGTGTATCTGGATTTTAGAAACGGTTGTGCTACTGTATGTTCTTTTGATCTTATTTACAACAAGCCTTTTTGGCTGTTTTTTTAATTCCTGGGTGTCTTTTATGAAGTTCGGAGTAAATGCCTGCCAAGTTGCAATTTGGGTAACTACTTCTTAGCAAATGAAAAGTCCTTAAGTGGATGTAAAATAGATGTGATAGCCTTTTTTTCTTTAAATCTGTCCTATGTTGTCTCTTTTTGAGGGAGCTACTTCTTTAAAGGAAGACTCTTCCAGCAAGTTTGTTTATTGATAGACTCTTCCAACAAGTGTGTTTATTGATGCATATTTTTATGACATAGTTAGAATTAATGAAAGAGATTTAATTCATTTCCACTGAAAAAACATGATTTCTTACAGAGTCCGTAGCTCGCTCCAGCAAATTGCTCAGTTGGTGCCAGCGGCAGACGGATGGATATGCTGGAGTAAATGTGACAGATCTCACAATGTCTTGGAAAAGTGGCCTAGCTTTGTGTGCCATTATCCACAGATACCGTCCAGACCTGATGTAAGTAACGGACTGTTTTGAAAAACTAGGAAAGTTGGTCCTACTTGAAACTAGTAATTGGAGATCTTAACGATGCATTTGTAACATTGAAATAAAAGCAATTACATTCGATGAAGCTAATGTACAGCGATTCACCAGCAGACAGGAAGATCGTAAAAGCTTGATGAATAGCAAGATAAGTGTGTTATTTTCCCTCCTGCATGATTTGATGGCAATAAACTGCAAACTGATACTGTCTGGAGTTCACTATTATCTGACAACTATTTGCTTTGTGAAATTAACTCATAGTCTCAGGTAAACCTCTTGTGAACAAATCTGTACTTAGCCATTTATAGTTTGATAGTAACTCATTATGAAGATTTTTAGACTGCTTTTCTGGAATTAGTGACTGACAGTCTAAATAGAATCATTGCTGCCATTTGTGCACTAACATGTTGATTGGATGGATGAGAGAAGATATAATCTTCTGTTATATGTTGGGTGAAAGAGTGCCCAGATTCTAGAATGGGAAAAAATATGCTCTTGACAGGTAGAAGTACCAGAAGCAAAGACTCTAGTACTTCAAATCTAGAATGACTTCAACTTCCCAAAGGGATATTAGAAAACATAAGTGCTAGCAGTGTAATTAAGGATTGTAATTCAGTGTAAAGCATGCTAAACAGTTTCGTGGTTATTCCATTCCGTGCTTGCTGAGTTACTTCTGTGTTGCAATAGAGTTATTTTTTGAAAGCAGTGTTGCAGGCTCAAGTGAAAATACCAAGTTTTGTAAGAGCTAGTAGAACTAAGATATATATGAGTCAAAATAGGACAAAAACAACATAGAAAGAAAATAAATTTAAAATTACTAAAGAGAATAAATTTAAGACAAAAAGACGGATCTCTTGAGTTCTTTCAAAAGACTTTTTGTACATCATTCAGCATATGTCCTCTTCCTGCCCTTTGCAGAGACTTTGATTCTTTGGATGAGCACAATGTAGAGAAAAATAACCAGCTGGCCTTTGACATCTCTGAGAAAGAGTTTGGAATATCTCCCATAATGACTGGAAAGGAAATGGCATCTGTTGGAGAGCCCGATAAGCTGTCCATGGTGATGTACCTCACGCAGTTCTATGAGATGTTCAAAGACACCATCCCCTCTAGTGGTAAGGAGCTTGGGGCAGGTTCTTCAGATTTGAAGACAACTGCAGAATGGTTGGGGGTCACTTAAACTATCTTTGCCTTCTCCCACACGAGCTCATAGTTGTCACTAGTTAATGAGTGCAAAATAATGTCCTCAAAGTATTTAAATGGACTTCTAGACAACTTTTGTGATCTTTTGCTGTTGCTAGAGCTTCATATGTGCATATTCATAACATATCTTGCGAGCAGTTGTTTAGTAGTTTATTTCGAGGCATTGGCCATGTCTTCTGTTTACCGTGTTTGGATGGTCTCTATTTTTTGCAGAGAGTTTAAGGACAAAGGTCATATTAAAAAATAGTGAGACTTTTGGTTGTGTATTTAATAATGACACCACAGAAGTAAAAGCTTAGCATTTCCTTGTCCTACCTATTTTTGCTAACAGACAATCTGGAGCTGAATGCAGAAGAAAAAGCTGCCTTGATTGCTAGTACCAAATCTCCCATCTCTTTTCTCAGCAAACTGGGTCAAAGCATCTCTCGGAAACGCACTCCAAAGGTACCATAACTCCTGGTTACTCTTTTGTCTGTTAGGCTGCTGTCCAATTAAGTGTTAATAAAAATGGATGTAGGACTGCGTATCTGCTGTGTAGCAACGAATGACCCAGTGTTTGTCAGCTATTGATACGGGACAGTGCATAACCATTCTGGTTGCAGAATTACCTACAAAGAGTGGTCTACTTCAGTCTTAAAATCTTAGCTATATGTTAGTATTTGTGGATGCTTTGTATTAGAACATAATTGGTACTCAGTTCCAAACCCACTGAGGGATTTGAGCACTGTCAGGAAGAATTTCCAATACAAAATTTGTTTCTTAAACAAATGAGCCCAGAGGATTAGTCTCTTGTGTTGCAAAGCATACTTAAACATCCTTATGAGGTTTGTTGCAGTCCAGAAAGGGATGAGAATCCTTATCTTTGTTATTTTTTTTCTCTTCCTTCTATTTTCAGGACAAAAAAGAAAAGGAACTAGATGGTGCAGGAAAGCGGAGGAAAACAAGCCAGTCTGAGGATGTAAGTATATGAGTGGAGAAGTGTTATGGAGACAAATATGTACATCTAAGATCCTTGATCCAAATTCAAGCCTTATATTTTTGATATTCAAACACAGTTTAAATAAAAAAATTTTAGGTAAGCATAAATTCTTCTTAAGATGTTATGCTTTGCCATACACAGAAACTGAAATTGAGTTGAGTTGAGATAGAAGAGAGTTGAAATATTTTACTGATGCTTGTGAAAAAGTAATATGTTAAAAATTAAAAGTTGCAGTTCCCTTATATATTGTCTTGATGACAATTCACTTTGACTTGAGGAGGATGCTGTGAATAACATGCTGATTTAGGATAGTGATGCAGTGCAGTCAGAAATTTTGTTCATGTGAAAAGATTAGCTTCTTCGTTTCAAAAGACGTACATAACCAGTATTTTCTGTGAGGCAATCCTCCAATTCAAGCTTATATAGCCAAATGGGTACAAATGTAATAAAATTTAGAACTTTAAATTGCCAGTGAGGATTTGAAGGAGGTTTTGCTTTATGCCGGCATATTCATGGGAGTGTTTCAGCTGTTATCTCTTTGATAGGTAAATATATCAAGTAAGATGGTTAAGATAAGGAAAGTTTATCAGAACTTGGTCACCTGCCAAGGAAAATTAACATGTGAGCTTTGATATGCAAGCTATTTTTTTTTAATATATGGTGTTAGAAACTTTTTACATCAGAAAGGAATAGAGGAAAAGGTGGTCTGGATATGTTAAGTTTCCATTCTCTTGATGGTTAGGAGGACATCCCTCGAAGCTACAGAGAAGAAAGGCCCACACTGGTGAGCGCCCTGACAGAGAGGAGAATTGATGCTGCCATTGGGAATCAGAATAAAGTGAAGTCCATGGCAACCCAGCTACTGGCCAAGTTTGAGGAGAATGCACCTGTGCCGTCCTCAAGCGTGCGGAGACAGGTAGGAGAAGTGAGAGTAGTGGAACCCTCTATATTGCAGAGCAACAAGATGCTAATAATAATACTTCTCAGGACGGGATGCTAATGGTACTCTTTTCTTTCAAGTAATATTGAAGCTTATGCAAAAGAGGAAAATTTCTTGATTTAGGAGTATGAGTTGGGGAAGCATTTCCTGACTGAAGTCTAGTTTGCTTTTAGTACTGGTATGTGTTATGTAATCTCTTTCAGAAACATCTTAAAAACAGTTAGATTTCTTTTGTAACTGCTACTGCCACTGAAAAGCTTTCCAGGAACATCTCATTTTTAATGTTCAAGAACTATCATTTAAATTCTGATTTTCATTTTTTGTGTGTGCCAGTTATTTGTGCTTGTGTACTGAGCCTCCATATTTTATGTGTCTGTGAGCACTTCAGATAAATGCCTGGGAATGCAATCAGAATATTTGTATCATTCCAAGTGAGGCTTCCTGACGACTATTGGTTATTCAGGATGGTATCTGAACTACTGCAGCTGCAAGGAAGTCATCTTTAAAGTTGGATTGAGTCACTCCAAGATACTGCTAGCAGTGCATCAGCAGCAGTTTAAGGCTCAGTAAGGTTTAGGTGCCTGGGTTTTTCCCTTGCTGCTTCACAACTTGTGGCAAAGTCTATGCTGCCATGGCTAGATTGACTGGGATCTAACCCAGCTACTTGTAAGCTGCACACCGATGTCTGTAATGGAAGGTAAAAGGAGGGCATTTATCTTACTTCTTGCCAGTCACATGTTTCCTCAGTCAGCACATACTCGCTGAACTGAGAAACAATGAAAATAAAAGGAATTTAAAAAAAAAAAGAAAACCTTCAGTTTCCCATTTTTGTTATGTCTTTCCCCCTTTTTATGTTTTACTTGCTAATTCTCCCCATCCATTTTTTTTTCTCTTAAATGTCTGTCTGTCTGATTCTGTCTCCCATTCTCTTGGCTTTCTTTGAGTTTCCTTTGCTATTTTATCTTTCCTCCCTGGTCCCACCCTGCTGTCCCTACCACCCGCATGCAGCAGCCTGTTCTGCCTTATCAAGAACGTGTTCACAACCCACCATCCAGCAGACGAGAACAGGGCCGTCTTGCTTCTGTGCCCCAGTGGAAACAGGTAAATGCATTGATTATGCCTATGATGCAATGCCCACGCTCAGTACTAGCTATCAATATCCTTGCTAGTTTTAAACCATTGCTTTTGAGCACCTTTGTGTGAGACTGTTGTTTTAAATCATTTAATTAATAACAAATAAAACCAGAATCTTCCTCAGGCATTATTTAATATTTCACTAGGATTTGGCAGTCAAAGATAACCCGTCTTCTTATGCCATTTTCAACTTTCCAGGGTTTCAGCGGATGTTTGAAGAGAAATCTTGCTTATAGGTGCAACTCAGTGTAAATGTTGTGTCTAAGGTATTCCTAAATGTTTCTATTAGAAACAAACAAAATATATAGGCAAGTTCCCCAACCAATGAGGTTAAAAATGTCATGATATCTATGATAAGTCTTTCCTTGATAAGCTTTACTGAGTCAACAGAATATGGGGGTTCTGGGGTCCAACTCTTGCGCTGTTTTTTCTTGTGCTTTTCATCAAACAGTTGAAATAGGGAAGAATAAAAATAGGTTTCAATGATGCAAAATCAATAGGATATAGCAGGATCAAAGAGAAGATTTCCCGAGGGAAATACAGGATATCAGTTATCTTAGTTCAAAAGCCATAAGAGTTTATAGGAGCGTTTATTCAGCGATCAGCTGAGGCAAAACGCTGTCTACTAAGCCAAGAAGCCAGCTTTGCCAAGTTTGAACAAAGAACTGTCCGGATGGAAGTTGTTGCTGAAGTGGTCCCTCAGCAGGCTTCTGAAAGTCCTAGTTCTGTTTGCTGAGGCACAACAAAATCTGGTAGCTGTGAGACTGCACAAGACTGCAGTGCTGTGGTGGCTCCCTATGGTGACACCAGGCCCTCCACCTACAAAACTGTTTTCCAAGCCATAGATTCTATAACAAAGTTGGTACTGGATGCCAATACACATTGCTGGACATGCTGTAAAGGAATAATATTGCTCCTGGTAAGCTCTTAGGAGCTATTCATGAAGCTATGGGGCAGAGTTCTGCATCTCTTCACATAGCAAATGGATCCTATTGTGAAAAGTTGAAGAGTCCTTTGAAGGCAATTCCCAACTGGATAAAGTGGTAACCTGTTGTAGAGGGAAATTGGGTGGTGCCTGATGTTCTTTCCAGTAGACAGAGTGGACTGCAGGGTTCTAGTGAGGAAGGCAGTTTCAGGCCTTGTGTTTGACAGGCTTGGTTCTGCTTGTGGAAGCTGCATGGCAGAGGAAGATACACTGCAAAAGCAGCAAGATTAATTATGGGGGAGAAACCAGACAGTTGCAGGGGAAGGGGTCTGGATTGCTGATGGAAAAAGTACATCTGCCTTGGGCAGTGATCTCCTAAGTGTCTGTCAGATGGACTTCATTAGTTTTACCTGCTTATCAATTTAAACTCCTCTTCTTGTTTTACCCTGATGGAAGGCCAGCAGTTTCAGTTTGTGATGCAAAATATCTCTGTTACAGAGCTGTTACAGAGATGGGGTTGGGACAAGCTGTTCAAACAGAACTTTGAGAAAGGGAGAAATCCTGTCAGAATCTGTTGTGAAGCAATTTTTACTTCTATCGTAAGACCTTTATGCTGTCTTTCTTGTAAAGAGAATACCTTGAAAGGATCCAGAATGATTAAAGCCTTATCCATCTGCTGCTCTCCACATTTGTAGTTGATTTTCCACAGGAATTGTGTAGGAAATTTTGCTTTATTGAGCTACACCTTAAGAATTCTAATCTGTGGATTCACGGCATTAGGATCACCCAAACAGCAGATAGTAATGTATGAAGGTGATGTGTTATGTGTATATCTCAATTAAAATATTTATTTTTTAATATGATTTACTGTTGCCTAAAAAAAATCATTGTTTCATGTAGTGTGCTTAATCTTCTCCAGTGAACTCATAGTTGTGTAAAAACAATTCCCATTGTGTATTCCATTGCTTTTGGGAAATAGCATCTCATCAGGGAATATTGTAAAGCCATGGGGCCTGTCTAGAAGAGGATCTGATTGCTTGGGTATGGTATAGGATACTAGTCTATTAAACAGAATTTTGTTCTGAATTTCTAGACTCAGCATGAGTCTGGAGCGTTTTTTTTTGTTGTTTTTCTCCTGTGACTTCCTTGTCTCCTAACAGCAGCAAAGTATGTGCATAATAAAGAAGCTTTCATCACTTACATTTACAAGGATGCTTGTAAGATGGAGATCGCATGTCTTCCTGGGCAATTTTCTTCTGCTTCTGGAGTTCTGATGCGTGTTCTTCTGAGATGGTTTCTTGAAGGGTAGCAGAGATGCACCAGTAAAAATCTTTAAGTAATTCTGTTGGAATTCTGATTTTTCAAGATGTGTAATGACTGAGATGACCATGGTCAACAGGATTTGAAATCTCAATGAAAGATAACTTAAAACCGTTTTGATTTCCATGAATGCTCATTCTTTTAATTTCATATTTAAAACTGTTGATATTTCTTTATCTCCTCTTTCCTATAACCATCTTTATGCATACTCAGAAATGCATCCTACTGGAGGGCTGACATACGCCTGCTGCATTATACAGTGTTCTGCTATCTGCCATCGAAAAATATGCACCTCTGTGAGAATGTTTAAATCTGAAATACAAAACAGGCTTTGGTCACATGAAAGTGCATAAGCAGCTGCAGTGGTTCAAGACATTATTGCCCTTCTGTTGGAGATTAATTCCCTGAGAGCTGAGCCTTTTGAAAGAGCATATAAGTGCTTCTCATCTACTTTAGTGCACAGTCATATGGCTTAGTTTAAACTGCTTGTAGCAACTGTTAAAATTAGAAGAGTTGATTTTTGTGCTGAAGGGGAAGAGTACAGTTGCACAGATGTTTGTATCAGCTCAGTGATAAGGTCAGTGATGAACATATGTAATGCCTGTAAAGTTCATGCAGTTTCTTCAGAGGTTGTCTAGCCATGGCTTTAGATACTCAAGGTTTCTTTTTGTAGTGCAACTATTTCCAGAAATTCTGGGGAGAGAATTCAAAAAAAAAAAAAAAAAAAATAAAAAGATACATGAAAAAATGGAGAAGTGATATGGAAACAAGACCCTGCACAGTTAGAACTAGAAAGGCATGTGCTCTGGCATATAAACTAGGGCATACATATAATGTGTAGCATTCAGATTATTAGTTGTGACTACATTTCATCCATAAAATGGCTATATTTCTTTTCTAATAGAGTGACACCATACAATTTAATTTGCCATATATGCTTTAATCTCTATAAGATAGGGAGAAAGGAGTCAAAGCTGAGAACAGAATGCTGTGACTTGAGGTTTTGGCTGATGAACTCCAAGTAAGAGGAGTTAGGCCAGCAGGATGGATATTATTAAACATTACAGGGCACAACAATAAGTAGTTCTTCTGAAGCAAAGAGAGCAGCCTAGTGTGAAGACTTCCAGACTGTTTCAACAATCGTAAAATTTTGTGTCAGTTAATGCACTTCTGAGATTGTAGCCTGTCTCATTCAAAGCTATTTGTAACATTACCTTAGCTTTTACATACTTATTATGATTTTTTTCTTTCTCTGTTAAAAAAAAAAAAGATGAGGAGTAAGGAACGTTCTCGGACCTGCCCCAAAAAAGTGATCATGCTCTCTTCTTCCACTCCACCTTCCTCTCCACCGTGTCTCAGACAGCAGGTGATTCCCTCTGCATGCTCTGTCCCTCTCTCTTCATTACTGTTTGTACAAGTGACTAGATCAGTTACCAGAAGCTCTTAGGTTAAAAACATAGGCTGACATTAAATCAGCAGAAATATGCTCATGATGGTTATCTGATGCAGCGTAGATTCTGAGATTTTGCTATGGGACATTTGTAGTTAAAGTAGCTGTTTTCAGTTTTAAGTAGCAGCCGGGCACAAGTGAAATACAGGGGCCAAGACTTCCCTTGAAGTGCATATATGCACTGTAAAATTCAGTAGGTATGCTTCTATCTAAGCATTAGAGCTTGAAGCTATATTGCATATATATCTTTAAGTGTCAGGAAGTTTTTTGGGATAAGTGAGGTTTTGGACAAGTGAGGTTAGTGGCGCAGGGACAGAAAGGGCAGCTTTCTTCCCCTCTTCCTGTAAACAAATGTAACTGAGAATTTGCCCGTGTATCCGTGAAACTCTTTCAGGATTATTTGCATGAAGTACTTTTGGGGAGTTTTGTAATAGTGTAGGCTTGTCCAGTTTGGTCCTTCTCTTTTACCTTGTGTCTTGCAAAAGTGTGTGTTCAGTGTCTCTTGAGTTTTAATTTGGAGTAGGAATAGCTGTTCTGAACATCATATATAAATGTGCTTCCAGATGTTTGTGAGCAAGTATCTGTTGTCCTTCTATAGTTATATATTACCTGAAATCTTTTAATATTTGTGTTTTGTTGTATGTGGTCGTTGTACTTTTCAGCAGGATCAATTTCATCCTCTTTTTTAAAATTTATTAATTTATTTTTTTATTAACTCCTTTTTCCCCACAGTAATAGATTCCACTCCTTCCCGATTAATTTGGAACTAATCCTCAGGTGATAAAAAGGCAGTTGCAGTTCCATGGACCACCCATGACTTTAAATAGAAGTTGTACAGATAAGTTTCCCCGTAAATGGAAAACATTTCTTCACTGAACTCTTGCATGCCTGTAAACTGTATAAAGGCATGTCACCTTTTAGCCAACTTAGGTCCATTTTGGGGCATAAAGTCTGTCTTGCCTTACTGCTCTTACACCTCAGAGTGTAGTTACATGTTACATTTAATGTGATCTAATTTAGTCCCTCTCCAGACCACACGTTCTCTGCTGACTATCTTGTGTCAGGTTGTGCAGATGCAAGATAAGTCAAAGCAGTTTACAAATCTGATTGAAAACTGTCCTAAGAAAACGTGATTAGTTTTCTGGTACCCAAGTGGACAGCGTGATGCAAGAAAGGATACAGGAGTACATCTCTAAGTGTACTAGATAGGATAGGATGAGGACAGCCCTTTTCATCAGCACCGTTCATTTAGACTGAATTGAGTGTAATGTG